TATGGGCTTCAGATCACCCGTTCGATACTGAGCAGCGAGATCCACAGCACTGACTGTTGACATAGACGGAGAGACGGGCGAAATCTGATTAATATTACGATCTGAACTACTCATTATCATGTGAACTAACAGGCAGAGTTCATACAAGTCGTGGATCGGATCTGCTGTGTATTAAAGGGCGGTGGTCGTCGTGCCACGCATGCGCGAGATATGGGTCTCGTATAAACAAAGATGGCGACTTTGACTGTTGCGCAGACCAACGAGTACAAATTGAGAGGTTACCAAAGCTTTAATTAGGTGATTTTTTGATGATTTGAAGGTACAGAAGAAGTCGCCGGTGGCAACTAGTGCGAGTCGTGCCAAGGTCTAAACTGATGAAATGGCGCATTGGATTGTGGGAACATCTATGTTTATAAACACAAATGTCGCACATTTAATTAACCTATTATATTAAGAGTTGCATACTTTACTATCTGTAACTCTTCATTGTGTATACCCTTATTGTACCCTTAACGATTCCTGTGCGGTACATCTAGCCATGGAAGGTACAAACTAGTCTACCAACTTATGAAGCGAATCTACGATTTCTGAGTTCCCTAAATTGAGTAGAAAACACGGCCAAAGAGAAATATGGTCCAGTTTTCCATGATTGAAACAGGCTCACAGTGCCATCATGGACTGGTGCTTCGATTTGCTGTTGTATGTCAACCATGTATATCCTATGTCGTACAGCTATCAAGAGATTTTACGTAAAGGCGATTGAACACCGATACTCATATTAACACCTTCACATATTAACCTTCGCATAGAACCATAGTTACAAACAAACTGTTTAAACAAGTGATTAGTGTCTGCTAAAAAGTTTTAGCGTTCTAATATATACTTAAAACAAACTTGAAAATAGACAGTACTCGACTCATTGCCTTATTTCATTTTATTTCACCGGTACGAGTGTCAGTACTAATTATAATGTTGTTGTATGTGGTCAATAAAAAATGCTTCTCTATTTCCCACACGGAGTATATTCAAAATATAAGTATGTCCATTAGTACATTGTAAATACCAGGACGCAACACACTCATTACAGCAATGTACTAACCGGTAACAAATCCAGTAAATTAGTTATTCATCATGGAAAGGGTGTGTAAATGATTTAAGTGTAGCCTATATTATTTATAGCGCTCCCCGAAATATACTAAACTATCCCCTTCAAAATGAATGCAAGAGTTTAAGGCGTTTTGTGGGAGCAGGGCTTTTTGGCCAATCACCTGTTACCGATTAAATATATTTAACACAAGCTACATAATTATTTATTTTCTTGCACTAAAAACCTGTATGTTACAAGCAGAAAGTGTTATTTTTTTTAGCAGTGATAAATCATTAAAAGTATGACATACTGTTTTAAACATTAAGGAAAATTTTATATACACATGTATTATGTTATTATATGTTCGCTCAATCTGCAAACAGTTCGGAATATTATTTGTCCAATTAGCATTTTCTAGCTTTATATCGAGGTTTCACACAAATGGATCAGTGTATTCGCTCATCGCCATCTGTTTTGACCTCCTATTGAAATGTCCTAACAAATTATAATTCACTATCTTTGAAGATACAGTTCTTTACCAAATCTAGCTCTTTGTTGTTCCCGTGCTGATTGACACATCGCCATAAAGCCACGGCATCTCACGTTGGAAATAAGCTCGGAATTACTGATGACAACTAGTTTCTCACTTTCGTGCTTGCAAATATTTGACTGTTCACATAATCAGGTATGCGATTTGTATGCTCTTACTTTTGATTTTGCAACTAGTACTGTACATAACATGATGAATGCACAGCATGAAAGCACAATGTAACATGATGAATGCACATTATAATACAACGTAGGTCAGTGCACACCATAATTTGAATGCACATCACATCATTGAGAATGCACAACATAACACGATGAAAGAACAATCATGTAACATGATGAATGCACATTATAATACAATGTCAGTGCACAACATAACATAGTAAATGCAGACTATAACATGAATGCACATCACAGCGTTGAGAATGCACAACATAACACGATGAAAGCACAATCATGTAACATGATGAATGCGCAAACATAATAGGTTAATCACAACATGATAAATGCACACCATATCATGAAGAATGCACAGCACAACATGGAGAGTACACAACAAAACATGATGAATGCACAACTTAATTGATGAATGCACAACATAAGAAATGCACAACCATAACATGATTACACACCTTAAAAGACTGTTGCACACAATAACACAATCTTTGCAACCCTTGACATGATCTTAGGATACCACAAAATGATTTTGGCACCAGCTATCATGAAGAATGATATACATGTATAACAACAAATATATATCTGAGCATCACACAAATTATCATTT